CTTGTCTGCCTGGGGAAAAGAACCAGCCCTAAGCAAGGGTGTAAATTTACAGCATATTATCTGTTCTGTGGGAACTCTTAAACACCAGGTAACACACTATTTTGAAAGCGGCATCACCTTAGTGCTTGTAGTAGGTCCACACTGGAAGCTGTCACAGAGCAGCTGGTGCCCCATAAAATGCAGTATCTTGCATAGCAGGCTATACACACTAGTCCATACATTTTTATAGATATATGCATGTATGTATGCATACTCCTCACATACAGAAGACCAAATCAAAGCTCACTCAGGCTTATCTATATACAAACTGCATAATTAAGCAAGACCAAAACTCTACACATTCTGTTTAACTTGTCCTCTGCGAAAGGATTGTGGCAAATCAAACCAGTGCAAGTCAACTTTTAAGTCAGTTTAAGTCAGTTCTCGGTGTTTGCACACAGAAATGTGTAAGTTTCTAAGCTGCTACAAAGACTCCTGCAGTCTTTCAGATGGGACCAGGAGTGTCTAAGTGAAAACAGGAGTATTGGCAGTTCCAGAATAGAGATGGACAGATGAAGAGTTGGATGCAGTGTACAGGAATAGATGTTGGGTGCAGCAAGGGAGAGGCAGTGATTCTTCCAGCTTTTCCAGACACTTCATTTTTTCACACCAACGGCTAAACTAGATTTTAGTACAGAAAAAACCCACCAAGAAACGGTTCCTTCATGGCCAGGACCTCCCTGGCAGACATTCTGTCCTGTCCCAGCAGCCAGGAGCAGCCCCCCTAGCCTGCACCCTCAGCAGAAGGCAAAGATGCAGAACAGCATGGCATCAGGCTCCAAGCTCCTCTCCTGCCTGGACAAGAGGTGCTTGGGAGGAGGCCTTCCTGATCTACCAGCCCTGGCTGGAGGGGCCAGGCCTTCACTAGGCACGTTCATAAGCCCCAGGTTCCTCTCTCGCATCACACTAACACTCGCAGTTGCCTCAGCTTTGAGTAACCGCACAAGTCACGACAAAGCCCCTGGCAGCAACACCCTGGCACGGCTAGGGGAGATAGCTGTGCTCCTCCCAGCAACAGGACTTGAAGTCCCTGCTCCTTCCCTGCTTCCCAAGCTACCACAGACTCCCTTTCCCTGAGGTCCACGCTTAGGAACACCTCCCAGAGCCCAACTAATGGCCCAACCTGCATCGCCCAACACCTATTTTGTAGGCGGAGACTGAGGCAGGTGCAGCAAAACAAGAACTGCTGGGTTTACACCTCTGAGGAGCAGGAGGCACCTGGAGCCCACCCCGGCAGCGTTGGTCTCAGGTGAGGCGGCAGTAACAGAATGACCACTTCACAGCTAGAGAGTGACGGAGCAGCTCTGCAAGAGGTTCAGGTTGCACACTGAGAAGAACTTCATTACTAGGGAGGTGGCGCGGCACTGGAAGAGGCTGCCCAGACAGGTTGCATTATCTCCATCCTGGGAGGATTTCCAGGCTACACAAATCATGGCTGACCTGACCTAGTGTTGGCAGCAATCCTGCTCAGAGTGGGAAGTCGGACCAGAGAGTCCTTGAAACCAACATGTCTAAGACTGAGAAACCTTATGTGAGAAAGAGGGGAGACCTACAGCCATATTCCAAGTCTTAGCACAACATTCTCACAGGTATTATATCAGAATGTTGTGCTTCACTGAAGCCATGTTCTGGTTTGAAAACAAGGATGATCGCCAACTGGTCCCTCTTCTAGGAAAATATAGTTTCGCTTTCTGCTATTTAGAAAATGTTTTAATAACGCTAAGAAACCCAACTCTTTGACATCTGTTTTTGTCAAGACATTGCCAGTATAGACGAACAAGGTGGAACTAAGTACCCGACAATGAATCACAGCTTTGTTTGCCCTACCCTATTTGAAAGAAAAACCTGTAAAGCTTTCACAGGAATATACACTCAATAGCCTAAAGACTGTAAAAGCACAATTCCATCTGAGAATCCAGGAAGACAGAGTTTCAAGATTACTCAGACATTTTTCAGCATTTTTAGAAGTGCAAAAACCTACAGCCAACACGCAAAGAGCATTGTACTGACAGAGGAGTGACAATACACTGTGGTGACCAGCAAAACCCAAGCATCAGTAGACTGAATATCCACGAACATTGTATTGTTAGATAACTAAAATCTAAGCTGACAGAACTATTCTTTTCCCCTTGCTGCATTAGATGTTTCCTATTGCTGCATGTGAAGTGAAAGAAAATAATGAATAAAAGATGACTTACCTGGATACTCCTGCCTGGTCCAAAACAACTTTTCCACCTCTACACGATGGATAAACTTTAACAAAAAATTCATATAACATGCCATCATCCACATCAGGAGTCAGGTCTCCCACAAATAGTGAATATTCTGGACTAAAGAAATCAAAAGAAAACTTCTTAAGCACAGTCCTACCAAAAAAGAGGCATGCTGACTGACAGCAAACATTTAGCCTAAACACTTGACACAAGAAAAGTGATAGTAAAAGACTATTTATTGGATGCTTTAAAGTGTCACCGGTTAAGTTGCTTAGGTGACTAAAATTTTTATTGACACTGCTTTTTCCAAGTTAATTCAAGCAGCACAACCAATCTACTCAACACTGCTTTTAATTTAAAGATAATTTCATCGTTTAGTTCTTATAGGGTATCTTTGGATTTCTGACATGGCAAGAAAACATTAATGACTCATTTATAGATTTGCTATTTCCTATACATTGATATTAAATTATAATATATATAATTAGATACTTTGATGCTATGAATTTGAACTACCTTAAAAGACACTCCTGACAAATCTGCTGTGCCACACAAAAGGCAAAGCACAAAGCTGACAGGCAGTCTAAGTTATCCTCCCTCTGCTACAGAGTCAGGGGGTGAGCTGCTGGAACCAGAGAGGCGATGTTCTCCTGTATCTCCAGAGCAAATGGAACCACGAGAATGAGCTAACAGACGCAAATCTCATTCTTGGCCCCATCTGTCATGCCCTGATTACAATCTAAAATGTTGGGGTTTGTTTTTTTTTTAAAAAAGGTTCATAAATAATCATCTAAAATAAAAATATAATTGCCAAGATATGACTAATACTACACTAACAAACGGCAGGACTCTGTTGCTTTCACCCTCATACACACCTGCCTGAACACCTCCTTGTGTTATGATGACTTCAACTGTGTAAGCGTTTCTGGGCAGGCGTTGTGAAAGGTATTCACACCACCCAGCTGCAGGAGCCCAGCTCAGCCCGTCCACCTCCTCACGCACCTTCCACTGCCCGTGGAGAAAGACGGGCTCCTCCAGAGGGCAATTCCCAGCGCCCGTCTCTCTCTGCTGACTGTCGCGGCACTCCAGCCAGCTAAGCCAGGTGCTGCGAAACCACTGCGTTTATCTTTAGGCGCTAAACACATTCATGGCATTCTATAGTATTATGATGGGATGCATCCTTGGATGCATAGAAAGTCCTAAAATGCTACAGCATCACAAATATCTACAGCGTGTGCCAAGGCAGTTTAATGTAATTAAACATTTTTAATTATGGGATTTAGTTATCTGGCACTGCTGGATAAAATGGCACAAATTTTAGTCATATGCATCTCATGCATGCTCCCCTATCCAAATTTTCTAGCTCTACATCTCATCTGGCAATGATGAACTTGTGGGTTTACATGTTTTGAATCCTCTTTGCAAGGCAATTGGTAAAGAGTCATTAAGCAAGTAAAACTAATATTTGACTATTGAGCATTTACCTGTTATCAGGCTGTTTTCCATACGTTGCATAATTCAATTTAAATCGCTTTGCCTGAAACAAGGCAAAAATGAATCCATACATTCAAACGTTCTCATGTGAATCCAAACAATTAGGAAAAAATATCAATAAATTAATTTCACACAACTTTCTGAATGCTGACAGATGCTCAGTGCCATCAGGCCAGCCAGTTAAGGTATCAAGGACAACACATTATTTGACTTCAGTACAGATATAAGAATGAAAATCGGCAAAGAACCTGCACCAAGATGTTTGGCCTATCTTTATTTCAACAGTTTATAAAGCTAGTGAAAGAGAAGTGAACCTTACACAGCATCAAATTTTTCTAGCTTTAAGGAAGACAGGAAAACCGAGGTACTAACAACAAATATAAGACTTCGAATTTTAAGGTCTTAAAATGAAATGACAGCACAGACTGTTGGACATTTGTGATTTACAAGAATACTGGCAGATCAGAATCCACCACACTGGAAAAAGGAACCAATCCCCGAGTCTGGAAGTATGGCTAAATACTTTGCTCTGGATGATGCGCTCATTTAGTAACATCCAAAATTAAGGTTTTTCTGAAAAAGACACCTGTCATTGGACACTGGAGGCTTCCTTAAACTTTGCACCCGATTTTCTTTTGAAGCTGTTTCCCAAGAGCCTAGATGGTGCCCACTGGCACATCTGGAACTCGCCACCCCCATCCTGGCAGGGTTCAGCAACTTGTGCCCTGCTCATGTTTAAGTCTAGACCAAGATCTAAGGAGCAGCTGGTCTTCTGCTTCACAACCCTGAGGGTCTCAACCCCACGAGTGCTCTTGAGTGATGCTGACCCAGGCAGGCTCACTGCAGAGTGCAGTGGTAATTGCTATTTTCTTCTGAAACATGTCTGACAGAGGAAGAAACAAAGGGCTGCGCTCCTCTACAAGAATACTGGTGTCAGAACTCACCCAGGGAGTGGAAGACCTAAGCTGGATTCCCTTGTCAGCTTGAGGGGCTTCAAAACCATTTTTCTATCTCCCAAGAGGCTTCCAAAGCACACATCCGTCTGCACGACACAGTGGCATAGCAAGAACTCAAGGGGAACTCGGCCAAAGAAAGAAAGCCTACTGTGAACCCATAACGCAGATATCACGACATTTGTTCAGTACAGCGGAGGACCTAGTGTGCTCCTGCACCTTGTATGATGTACTTTCTTCCCTCAACGAGAGCGTAAATAATTCTTGGGAAATAGAGCAAAGACTTAACTCTAGGCTATAATCATGCTCCCTGTATGTCTGCATTCACTGGTGCACAGTGGTACGCAACTCCTTCTGTGGACCACTTACAAGCTAACACCAAATTCAGATTCCACTTTGAAGCATTTTCATCTTTTTTTGGACCTCGCTCTTCACTGCAATATTTTGGGTTTAAAATCAATGACAGACCTGAGAGTACTGCCACTCAAATGGGGACGGGGGACACCAATTCTGTAAAACAGAGACAGAAATAGCCCTGTGGCTCTCTGTTATTCCTTTGGCTGATTCGGTATTTGAAAATAAATAAAAGAGTGAGCCACATTCAGTTTTCTGCAAACAAGAGGAAAAACTGTCTAAATGCAAGAGACGAGCTGGACAGCTGCCTGCTGAGTACGCTGATTTAGGCTGCCCACACTGCTCTCGGTCTGACATCTGTAATTCTCCCCACGTGTTATGTAAATCACCCCTCTACACAACACCACATTTTGAACTAAACTGTGGATAAAGATGGGCATTCCCAAAACCAAACTCCAATTATTATATTACTCCTTGCAAGAGCTGCTCTCTTTCTCTCTCTAGTGACTACAGAAGGCATCTAGGAAGATTAGATTCCCTTAATCACGGGCTCTGATTCGCATATTAAACAGGACAGGTGGAACAGAAACCTCCAGGCCTCTCACCTACCCCTTTTAATGGGGGACGCCATCCTCTCAGGAAGGTTGACCAAATAGTTCAACCTGAACTTTCCAGTCTCCTGCTCAGGGTACTAACCACATGAAAATAAGCATCAGTTTACTCTACTATATCACACTGTAACCGAGGTGATTCTAGAGCTGCTTTATGAACCGGTCATCCCAGCTACTGCAGCCAACTTCTGTGGGCACAACGGACAGCTGTGTCAGCCATCCCATTTTAATCTACTGCACATTTGAGTCAACCTCCTAAAATTAGCCTCTATGACTATTCCTCCGCTTCTTCCTAACTACGAGCTTCCATGTATGTGAGACATTTGCTATCTATTGCAACTATACAATGGACTAGCTCCATCTCCACTGTAAATAGGTTTGAATAACTTATGTTTGCTAAGGGCAAGAATAAGGCAAGGGCTAAAAAGTCATGTTCCTCTTGCAAATCAAAGCTACTTCAAACTCAGCGCGAACTTGCAAGTTCATCTTATAGCTATATGACAACATACACACTGTAACAAACTAATATGGAACTACAAACGGAAAGAGAGAGAAGGATTGCGATAGGTAAACCCAGTCTATGTTTACCTTGTTCTTCTCTGGTTTCTCATTAGTCCACCTTTGGTAATAGCAGAAAGGCTCAGAAATAAAAACACCACATCACAACATTTCTATACCTGGATTTCACCCACACATTCACATAGAAATTTCCCGAGGAAAAGCATTAATAGTTTTATGTCCATTACTTTAACTCTAAAGGAAAGAAGAATCCCAATTTGCTAACTATTGAATTTGTCTGTAATTATTTGAATTACAGATTTACACTATCTACTCCCTCCTAGTTTTAGGTCTCAACTGGCCAATTTCATTTACTTACCGGTGTAGCACCAGGAAGCGGTTTTCCATTGATTTTGTGTAAACATTTCTCCGCAGTAGCTAGATCTGCAAACTCTACAAAGCAATAGCCTGCTGGAATTCTGAACATATGACACGGAGAGAAGAGAGAATAAGATTTCAGATTTAGAACACATTTGAGGAGGAATACTATATCCTTAGTTAACTGGTAGGAAATTTGCTACAGTTGCAATACTTAGCACATTTCAAAGTATAAATATTAACTACCAAGAAGAAGCTAGCAAAGTAATCTTGGATCTCAAGTAAAGCGACAGCCCCTACTTACCAGTAAGTCATGTCAACGAAGCACATAGAAAATAGTTTTGCTCACAATTAGTTTACTTCCTACTTTCACTGACTATATAAATTCCCCCCCCAAGTTTAAACCCAAGTTTAAACAATTGAAAACTGAAATTACAACACTTCCAAGAACATGAAACTACTTTATTCTGCATAGTCACTCCTTTTACTTCAAATGAACTCAAAGGGTCCTTATATGGCTCCTTCTAAAGTCAAACTTTCCTCCTCTGCCAGCATCACGTAGCTGCAGTAGCACAACGCCTAACACAGACCGGTCACCGAAGCCTTCAGCCCAGGCAGCGTAACGCCCAGAGGGACAGCATGGCATACATATGCCACGTTGAACGAGTGCTGAAGCACTGCAGGATGAGGGCCAAACCTCAGTTCGCTGATGGAAAGGTCAAAGAGCCAGCAATTGTCCTCTCCACTGCTATCAGCAATACACCCATATTGTTGGCAGCAATGGCGAAAAGCTCAAAGGGAAAATCGCTGTAACATGGACAGGACCACAGCGATGCCATGCAGAGGGCAAACGGCTCAATCCAAATCCACTGGCAGAACAAACTGAGAACAAGCATAAACAGTTACCCTGTCAACCTGTTTCGAATGATTTTTACACTCAGTACAAGCTCTCCCATGGTGGCAAAGGCTCTTGAAACAAAGTTTTCATCCATATATGGCTCCAGCTATAAAAGCAAAAAAAAAAAAAAGTTAGACCAGGGCATCTACAAACAGGAGAATATATGTGTCAATTGTCACCCTAAGCAGTTAAAACATTATTGAGAAGTATTTTACCCTTACACTTCAAAAAGAAGACTCATTTAAGAGGGTCGATGCCACTCAAAATCAGCAGGCATGCATGAACCAGGCTCAACAGTCTGTAAAGTGGAACCCAAGAGACAGCATGAATTTCAGAGAACAGGGAGCTTTCACAGAAGGACAAAAGCCACTCAGAAACATACAGCAACAAACTGAGCGTTCACTACACGGAGCAGGGGATCAGGAGATGGCAGGCTCGTTCTCTGTATGGAAACGGAGGTTGGGCCAGCGCTATCGGTACACAGGCGCGGCACAGCCCGCGGTGCTACGACGCACGGGCAGCACGCATCAGGTAACGCAGCCCCCCGCGAGCTGGGGCAGGGGTTCGCAGAGCCGTGTCTACCTCGCATAACCGTGGAGATACGCAGGGCAGCACTTGGAGGGGAGACCTCTAATCGCATCCCGCAGCGGGTCTGCGCTCTGCACTGCATGTGGGTGCACTGACCGTGTTTCTGTCACAGGTGAGGGGCACCGTGCGTGTCAGAGTGTGTGTGAAGTGCAGGGCAGCAGCACTGTGTGAGGGAACACGCTGGAGGGCAGGCGTCTGTGTGGTGTAAGTGCCTGAAAAGTATGAAACAGCATTGCAATTTGGACGAAATATATGATGAAGGGACTGAGGTAAAAGCATGCCTCTCTGTGTAACAAAGTGGAGGAGGGAACTGAAATTCAGGTTTTGTGCAATATGCATACTTCTGGGGAGACTGCGTGTGATGGGTAACACAGGGCCGGGGCGCGGGGGAAACATACCTAGCTCCATATATGTGAGTATATCTACGTGTTTGAGTAAGACAGATAGCCTCATGGTAACCGACAGCCCTCGAGCGGGTTCATCTGTCTGTCAGGTACCAGGTGGCTCCGTCACGTGTGTGCGGGACAACGCGCAGACTTGCGTAGTACCTGTGCGTATCTGACAGTGGGTGACCATACTGCCCCGGCACGCGCGAAGGTGGCCGATGCCCTGCAGAGCTGTGAGCGTAAAGCAGAAAGGACTCCGCTACGTGTGCCAGAAGCAGGAGGCAGCACTGCTCCGTCCGGACATGCCGTGCAGAGGGTGACCCTGTGCTCTGTGTGTAACGGAGAGGCAGGCTCGGAAAGGTGACAGGTGACTGCTGCGTGGATGTGTACGGGTTTCAAAGAGCAGCGGCCTGCTTGTGAGAGGGGTGACTGAAAAAGAAGATGGTCTTACAGTGGAGAGGTGGCAGATAACCCTTTGAGCAGGTAAAGAGAAAAGGGACTCTGCAGAGTGTGTTCACATGAGTGGCAGGCAGGGGAAGACTCACTGACCTGCCAGTGCACACTGGTAAACTGGGTGTAAGTGTGTGTATAAGAGAGAAGCCGCCAGCGGGATCCCCAGCAAGGTGCTGGGCTGTGCGTACACAGATCTGAGAGGGGCCGAGGCAGGCTGCAGGCTGCACATGTGTGTGCAAGCGGGACTATGCAATATGCCGGTGTGAGTCTGCAACAAAGGCTGGAGAAAGATGTGCGTGCAAGTAACAGGCAACGTGGAAGTCGTGACACGCTGGTGTAACTGCATATGCACGTCTGTACGTGTGTGCAGGTGCACACAAGCACGTGGCAGGCTGCAAGGACGCTACGATACAGCGGTGGGATTGTGTATGTGACGGTGTAAAAGTGGCAGTGCAGCGCTACGATACAGCGTAAGCAAACACATACAGGCGTGTGTGCAGGTAGCAAAGCACTATGACATGCTGGGCGTGAGTACGCATATGTGAGCGTGTGCGAAAGCGTGTCTGTCCAGCGGCCAGCAGCGAGGGACACAGGTGCACGAGGAGTAAGGGGGTGTGCACAGCGTGTGTGATGGGCAGGCAAGGGACACCGTGGGGTGCATACCACCGTGTGAGTGTGCCCACGGCGTGGGCGTGAGCAGGCAGTGAGACACTCTAAGGTGAAGAAGCGCCTGTGAGTGTGCTCCCAGGTGCATGTGGAAGCAGGAATAAGGGAACTACTGGAGTGTGCAAGTGCTTACAAGTGTGCGCACATGTAGGAGAGTGCAAATCCTTACAAGCGTGTGAGTGCACCCACAGGTGTGCACGTGTGTGGGGCAGGTAGTGAGGGATGCTCTTGGATGGGCCCATACGAGCATGTGAGCGCAAGTAAGCATAAGTGCCTAGAAGCCTGAGCACACGTGTGTGAGCCTAGCAGCACAAGCATGAGTGTGAGCATGTGAGTGTGTAAGTGCCTTAAAGTGTATGACCACGAGCGTATCAGTGCCTACAACCACGTCAGCTATAAGCCAGCATATAAAGCCTATAAGCATGCGATTATTGAGGCTAGCGAGTGTGTAAGTGAGCGTGCAAGTGCCTAACAGAGCAGGAGCACGGAGGTGTGAGAACACACCAGTACCCACGACACTGGTGTAAGTGCCACGAGCATATCTGTGAGCCTGGCTGTGGGCAGGCGACGAGGGTTGCTCTGGGGGGGATGTGTCTAACTGTGTCTGCGAGCGTGGAACTGCCCATGAATGCGCCTGCCGGGCCGGGGTTTGCATCTCTGAGCGTGTGCTTGTGTGTCAGCGTGTGCAAGCGTGCTTGTCAGCCTGTATGACTGTGCGTGTAAGCCTGCGTGAGCCTGACAGTGCGCACAGGAGCGTGTGCGCGCGAGAGCCTCAGCCAGCTCGGGAGTTTCTGCGTGTGTCAGAGCGTGCGAGGGTCCGTGAGGCTGTGTCAGCGTGCGAGGGTGTCGGGCAATGTGAGAGTGTCAGTCAGTCAGTCAGTCAGTGTGAGGGGGTCAGTCAGCAGGTGTGAGGGGGTCAGTCAGCAGGTGTGAGGGGGTCAGTCAGTCAGTGTGAGGGGGTCACTCGGTGTGAGGGTGTCAGTCAGTGTGAGGGTGTCTGTCAGTCAGTCAGTCAGTCAGTGTGAGGGTGTCTGTCAGTCAGTGTGAGGGTGTCAGTCGGTCAGTTAGCCGGTGTGAGGGTGTCTGTCAGTCAGTCTGTGTGAGGGTATCAGTCAGCCGGTGTGAGGGTGTCAGTCGGTGTGAGGGTGTCTGTCAGTCAGTCAGTCAGTCAGTGTGAGGGTGTCTGTCAGTCAGTGTGAGGGTGTCAGTCGGTCAGTTAGCCGGTGTGAGGGTGTCTGTCAGTCAGTCTGTGTGAGGGTATCAGTCAGCCGGTGTGAGGGTGTCAGTCGGTGTGAGGGTGTCTGTCAGTCAGTCAGCCAGTGTGAGGGTGTCAGCCGGTGTGAGGATGTCACTCGGTGTGAGGGTGCCGGTCAGCGCGCCCCAGCCCGCGGCCGCCC